TCCCATCTCCCCGAATGGGCCGCAAATTAGCATCTGAGCCCGATGATAAACTCAGAGTTGAGTTCGGTCGCATCCAGCAGTTGCTTGCGTCAACCATCTACAAAGATGTTCTTCGCCGACCCACAAATGCGGGAGGACGTGGACACTCGCATAAAGCTACAGGGTTAGGACCTCATGCCTTTCACAAAGCTAGGTGACATTCTCCGGGAAAGGCCGAAGGCGACATGCAAGAAGTGATTGACGATGTCCGTTTAGTACTTTGTGTACGACGAACATTGAATTTGTGTACGACAAAAATTTGTGATGTAAACGGTCTTCCTAAACATGCGCAGCGCTCTAGTTTGGTACGATTAACTTCGTTGTTTTACTATGTTGCTTCTATTTGCTAACATTTTAACTCTTTCTCTTGGTGTTGCTTAAGTATTATGTTGCATATTATCTATGAATTTGCTTCCGATGCATCTGTGTTAGGGATATAGATGACGAAGAAGTATACAAAGGGAGGGTTCCACGAGTCTACAACAAGTAGTCAGAGTGCCAAGCCCAAGTGGATCGCTTCGGGCGGCAGACACAAAGGGTTTGAAAGTAAAAGCCAAGCAGGAGCTAGTTACTTGAAGTTCATGCTAGCGGGAGAGAGGAAGAAGAACCGGCTGAAGAACTACTTCATAATCCCTTTCTTTCCCATCGTGATCGGTTTTCTGTTGTATGTGGTCATAGTTTATATCGATGATGAAACATATGTGTATGATCATGTAGTTGTATTCGAGACTTGTAGTAACTTGTATCACTATTTGGATGATGATGAGACATTGTTGTATCACTATGATGACGATGATGAGACATTGCCTATATTGTTTGGTTTATACATTTTTCTGTTTGTACGGTACTGGTACTTCGGTAAATAGTATGATATTAAATGGTGGTTCGGTTTCAGCATGTATTGAATTTATTTTGTCATGTTTTCGGTATATACCATAATAATCAAAGTTGATACAGATTTAAAAATAACATAATGATATTTTATAAATTTATGACTTAGGGGTCTAAATGTGGTTTTATTTTGAAACCAGATGAAACCATTAGAAATGCTTTCTGCTAAGTGTGTTGTGCATCGCAAGAAAGAAAAGAATATAATCAAAAATAGTGCATGCACTAACTTGCATTGGGCACACACAAAAGGGTACACACCGACACGGCCAACTCAAAAAAATAAGGGAAACGTTTGGGCGCGGTGCACCGGTCGAACTTTCGGCCGGCTCGCTCGCCACACTAGCCCAACGCACAATACGCAGTGGCCCTCGGGCACCCCGTCTCCATCTCCTACCTCCAGCTCTCATGCGCGCATCCCCTCCCCCTCCCCAGGCTGCGACGGAGGCCACCACGAGCTCCATCGCTGGCGGCCAGGCGCTCCCTCGCGCACCCGCCATGGCTGCCTGCTGCCATGGCCAGATCCATCCCCTACCTACATCCTTCACGCGCACACATCCCCTCCCCCTCTCCTATCGGGCTGCGACTGGGCCACCACAGGCTCCATCGATGACGGTCAAGCGCTCCCTCGCCGGCCGCCATGGCTGCTTACCGCCATGGCCGGATCCACCCGCGTATACAAGTGTTGCAACCGTCACCTAGAAAATCTTCAACAGCTATTGAAAAAAGCTTCAACCATAGACACAGAAAGTTTCAATGGCACTTCATAATAAGGGGAAGCTGCAACCGTAGTCAGAGGCAAAGGACCAAAAATATTTAAGGTGTGGGGAAGTCTTAAGAAAAGATCTTTTTTATGCAAATCAAAAGATTCAACACACATTACAAACAAAAAACCAAATACAATGAAAATGTATTCATGTTTCAATAGGAAAACAACCTTAAACATACCGATAATGAAGCTTTCAATGCCGCCTAGAAGACCCAGGCAATGGCAATGCCCTGCCCTCATTCTAAAAATCTTCCTCGATTTTAAGATCAATACTTTTGAAGATCTCTCGCTCAAGATAACAAATCATCAAATCATTAAGCGAACCATCTGTCATCCTGCTGCGCAACTCAATCTTGATGATTTTCATTGATGAGAAAGCCCTTTCAATTGTTGTCGTCGCTACCGATAGTAGCAATGCCAACTCCATGAGGCGATACACAGTAGGAAACATGACATGCCTTTGAAGTTCGACCATCATTTTAGCTAGGTTTTCAATATCATGACAAGATCTAAAGTCTTCAATTCTTCTTGTATGGATAATGAATAGATCTAGGTTATCTTCTATATGTTCACGTTCATAATTAGAGAAATCATCATGATAAATCTATGTGAGCCTAGCAAGCTTATTCAGGTTGAACCTAGAAAAGGAGTTTCTTAGGTCAAGACAAGAGAAGTTCTGGAGCAGGTTTGAAGATACCTCATCAAAACGATGATCAAACTCCGTGGTGATGGAATCTATAGCAGCATAGAAGGTGTCCACACGAAAAAAAAAGATCAGCCATGACAAGGTCTTTTTGAATTGTCTCGGAAGTTATTTTGGCATTTTTAGGACGTAGCCCATCAAATGCAACCTTGTTGTCATCACTGGAGCTTGCTGCCGCCGCCGTTTAAGCCCCAAGCACGTCGGCGCCGTAGCCTATCCCGTCGCCAGTTGCCCGCCCGGATCGCGACCTGACCAGCCACCATCTTGCAATTGCTCAGGGTTCGTCGCTTGCGCGTGCGTGTGGGTTGGCGCTCAATGGAATCGACGAGCTCGACCGCTTCTTGTTTGTGCCAGCAGGCCCAACTCGTGTGTTCTTGTGTTTGCCGGCCCAACTTATGTGTGCGGCGTGCCTGTGTGCCAGCGGCCTTTTTCTCGCTGCACTAGAACGAGGAAACGAGACAATCGACAATACATGCGTATGTATACATTTGTTTATGCCTAGAATCAAGGTATGGCGACTGCCATATCTTGCCCACCGAGGGCCTCCGCCAGTGACCGTAGTTGAATTTTGCTACTATCGGCTAAGCTTTTTGCTACATCCATCAAGCGGAGCTGCGACCTCGCGACGACGACAACGACGTTTTTGCTGCAACCGTAGTAGATTTTTGCTACTACCGCTGCAATTTTTTGCTACATCCATGTAAGGCGGAGTTGCGACCTCGCGAAGACGGCGACGGTGTTTGATTTTTGCTGCAACCGTAGTTATTTTTTGCTACTACGGGTGAAGTTTTTTGCTACATCCATTCAAAATGGCGTTGATTGACTGACGACCGCCATCGACATAATTCCCTGCAGCGAGCATCAATGGCGAGGGGCGGCGCCCGAGCTACAACCGCCGCTGTCAAGAGCTGCAACGTGGGTGGATTTGTTGCATGGCGACAGGCGACGAGGACGGCTGGCGACGACGGGGACCGACGGCCACCAGAGAGGACAGGAGTCGCGGCGCCGCGCTCCCCCGAACAGGACTGCCCGAGGAAGAAGAAAGAGAGCTGGCGATGATTCATTTTTTTTTTTGCTTGGATCCAATCGAACGGCTGAGCGCACATGGCATCGGGCGGTTGCGGTGCGATCGGCTGAAACTTTCGGCCAGCGCACCGGCGCAGAGTGCTGCCCAAAAAATAAAGAGATATCACTTCTACCCCAAGCGTCCCAGGTCAAAAAACATCAAGAACCAAAAAGAATCGACGTTGAAGGAAAAGGATTCTCGCGCCTCACGCTCTCGTGACCCTCTCCTCGTCGCCATGCACCGGCCAGGGCAGCACCGTACCACATACATGGGCGACGGACGCGCCCCCACCGAATCGACCGCGCCGCTGCCTGCCGACTGATGCCGCCCACAAACGGACGAGCCATGCCACACACACCCCTCCGTGGCCAAATGCCTGCCACTCCGCCCATCACGGAACGCGCCGGGCGTTTTGCCGGAAATCCAAATCCACCGTAGCCCGCACCGACGAGCCCATTGCCCCAGCCCCGAAGACGTAACGGCGACGTGCCTGCCGCTGCAACGCACGGGGCAGTCAATGTGGCACAAGCCCAACGCACGACACGACGTCCCAAACTGACCGAGCCGCGAGTCCGCACTCCCCCAGAGTCCACCTGCGACACACAGGCCTCGCCTGACCTCGGCGACCTGTATAAAAGACACGAGCACACGGCGGCATCGGCAACCCACCGGTCCACCGCAGCAGGCACGCACGCCTTCCTCGCGCGTTCCCAGTCGCAGGCCCCAGCCCCGGCCTTTAAAAACCCGTGAGCCCCCGACTCGCCGCTCGCCACGGCAAAAAGCACGAGCACCATGGCCGGGTACCGCCGCACCATCTCGTTCCCGACCCCGAAGGCGGCGGCGGCCGCCAGCGGCAAGCTCGCGGCGGCCTACCGCGTCCGCTCCGCCAGCCTCCCCTGCCGCTTCCACCCGCTGGTGCTGCAGCTCGACGACGACGTCGCCGCGCTGCGCCTCGTGCTCGGCGGCCAGGCCCCGTCCTGCTCGGCGCCCTCCGTCTCCGCGGCCGCCTCGCACATCGGCCGGGTGCTGGCCTCGCTCTCGGACCTGCTCCACCACCCGCAGGCGCAGGAGCCGCTGCGCCGCCTCGGCATGTCCCCGCTGGCCGAGCGCCTGCTCGACGACTTCCTCCGCCTCGCCGATGCGCACGGCAG